CTTTAAATATAAAAAACGTACTTACAGTCTTTGAGTCAGAACAGTCGGCATTGTAGTCTACTCTCCCAGGCTCAGTAAACAGTCCTCCATAAAATGTGCCGGCGATCCACAGCACTTGGATGATGTATTTGATGTATTTCCTCAGCGACCAGCACAGATCAGCTCTAGGCATGACGAAGCGATATCGTCCTCTTTTGGAAGACCAAACAAAGTAGTTTCGCTTTCACAACGAAGCACGGCGGCGGCGGGGTCGAGAACGGCGGTCCCGGCGAAGGAGCGGTGAAAACAGCGAAAGCCGATCCGGCGATCCACAGCACTAAGTTGATGTATTTCCTCAGCGACCAGCACGGATCAGCTCCAGGCATGACGAAGCGATATCGTCCTCTTTTGGAAGACCAAACAAAGTAGTTTCGCTTTCACAACGAAGCACACAGCGTCTTCAGGACATGGCGGCAGCAACAATACTACAGCGAGAATAAAAGTTACGCCTTCTTTCTTTGCATGAACATTTGGGCGGCGTTATGCAAATCTTCCCAAATAGTGAGGTAGACATGTGGGGGCGTGTACGAACGAGCCGTTTTAGGTAGGCATGGCTGACTCTTAACTTTTATAAAGAATATCTCTTTGGATTTGAGACTTTAGTCTTTGCAACTTTACAGATCTTCTTTATGCACCAAGAGCTTGTAACACTCCAAAGAGAAAGGAAAAAATGAAATCGCATCATATGACCCCTTTAAATTGTAAAGCCGTGATTGAATGACATCGAAAGCTGATTGAAGCGTATACAGGGCTTGTTGCCCAGAAGAGGCACTACAATACATGTCAGAATCATCAGCATAAAAATGAAAATTGGCATCCTGAATGTCATAATCAAGACTGTTTATATAAAGGATCAATAAAAGCGGCCCCAGAACAGATCCTTGGGGAACACCTTTGGCAATCTCCAATGATTTAGATCAGGGCTGCCCAAACTCGGTCCTGCAGGGCCGGTGTCCTGCAGAGTTTAGCTCCAGCTTGCCTCAACACACCTGACTGGAAGTTTCTAGTATGCCTAGTAAGAGCTTGATTAGCTGGTTCAGGTGTGTTTGATTAGGGTTGGAGCTAAACTCTGCAGGACACCGGCCCTCCAGGACCAAGTTTGGGCGCCCCTGATTTAGATTGTTTACCTTCAGCCTGTACACATCGAGTTCTTCCACTTAAATTATTTTAAACCATTTAGGTAAAAGAACTCAATGTGTACAGGCTGAAGGTAAATTATCTGACCATGCCTGTGTTTGTGGAATATTAATTTTTTAACTGGTGACTGATTGGCAAAACAGAGATTGATAAACTCAATAACTGCTCTGTGTTTGATAACTGCACTAAAAGCATCGCTACATCACATTCAGTTGCGATCGGGAGGTCAGAAGCAGTGTTGTACCTTTGGAGAGCGTGGGTCGGGCGGCCGGGCGAACAGCTCATCGTCGGTGAGCTGCGCTCCCGCAGGAACGCTCTCAGACGGACGCGTGCCGTTGTAAATGTGGAACTTGCAGTGCGGGTTAGTCGCCATGGCCAGCACTTCAAGCAGAGGGAACCAATCCTGAGCCATTTTGACGACGCAGAGCTCGATCAGACGGTGGGTGTTACTGATGATGCACCTCTGCAACGGGACGAGAGCAACAGATCAGCATCAGGGAGACGTCTGCACCGTACGGTCACAGACGGACCCAGACTCACGTGGATCTCAAACTTCCAGCCGCTCACAGCCTCATCTGTCAGGATTTTGGTGAATGAGATCGTCAGGCCATCACGGAAAAACCTCTGACACGCCTCGCACCTCACGTCGAGCCCTGAACACCACAACAAACCGCAGAAAACAGAATGACTCCACCTGAACATGACATCTCATCCACATTCGATTCATCACCCGTGACATCTGACCTTTTTTACTGAGATCTACAGCAGCTTCCAGCAGAACCTCCAGCTCTCCTTTGGGCAGGACCGGAACCACCCAGCGCGGCCTGAACCACAGGAAACCACATTAAACCACACATTAACTCCAAACAACACAATCTGAGATCGACGCCGCTGCTGACCGGTTGATCATGTCGTCCAGCTTGGCCAGGTCTGTGTGGGGGAAGGCAGGCTCCTCCTCTTCCTGTGTGGGCGGGGCTTCTCCCTGCCCCGGTTCCTCTGGCGGACTGATGGGTGACGTCTCATTGGAGGAGTTTGGGGAGGGCGTCTAAAAACACAACAGCAGCACAACGTCAGGCGGAAGCAGAACAACAGAAAGTAGTTATTCATGCAGTTTATTGATATATTTGGTTAAAGTGCATATTGCAGGGACCCAGTGAGTCAGTGCATAGAAAAATAATGTACTAGATTTTCTTTAAAATATACTTCTAAATTCGCTACTTGAGGCTTCTGGAGTCGTTTTTGTGAGAAATTTTTACTTCCACATCTGAAAAGCACCAAAACCGGAAGTGACGTAAACAAGAGGGTCAATTTAAACTGTAGGAAAACAATGGATCGCAACGACAGTTCTGATGCTGAGGAAATTGTAAATGTTTTTGCACCTAAAAGTTTATGTCATGCACCTCAAAAAATGAAGGGTCTGCCTAAATGTAAGCGTATCAATTACTGTGTATAACATTAAATAAATATTTTAGAACTGCAGAATACACACACACACACAAATATCTGCATTAATCATAAAAGGCCTGTCCCTGCTCTCTGAATAAACATTTACAATTTCCTCAGCATCAGAACTGTCGTTGCGATCCATTGTTTTCCTACAGTTTAAATTGACCCTCTTGTTTACGTCACTTCCGGTTTTGGTGCTTTTCAGATGTGGAAGTAAAAATTTCTCACAAAAACCGATTAGTGTGTAGGTTGACTAATGAATTGCTTTAAGAGCTTCTCGCTTCTCAAACAGCGTGTTGTACTTTAATGCAGTAAAGATGATATAATAATTACCTTAATAATGACACTAGACACTACACAGCAGAATCTGAACTAATTTCTGTATTGTGTAAAGCGCTGCAGAAATAAACGTCACTTGACTTGACTGATAGTAGGCTCTTCCCGTGAGCTGTGGCGTCTCATGCGGCCGTGTTTCTCTCTCTCACCTGGTTCTGGGGCAGCAGGGTTTGGGTCTGGTTCTGGCCGTCTGGCGCTTGGCTCTGGCTCTCGTTGCCCCCCGCGGGCGAGCCACGGGTGGTGGCCGTCCTGCT